TTGACTATAACTTGACAGATTCTATACAAAAGTCTACAGAAGACTTAACAAATACAGAGTGATTTGGAGATTTTAAGGCAGAGGCAACAATAGATAGTATATAGAGATACTAAATATTGTATTCAGTTTATTAACTATAAAATATATAAAGACACTTAACTTTCTTAAAAAATCAGAAAGTAGTGCTTTTATATATATTTTATATGTATAAATTATTACAATAAAGACTACTCTATTGCTAATAAATACTATTTATTTATTTTTATTTTTATTTTTATTTTTTTTCCTATAAGCAGTCATGCTAGTACTTTATTGAGTTTTTGAAATTATATTTGTAATTATATATATATCTCTAATATCTAAGTCTAGCATCATCCAGCCACCTTAATGGTACCTAAGTGCAACCTGACACATTACTTGAGCAGAAGTAAGCAACTTGTCTAACTACTTAAAGTCCATAATGAAAGGGCCTTCTCTTTTCTATGACAAGCCCCAAAATTGTCTTTGTTACTTCTTTCTCAACTTGCTTTTCTTTTTCTTTTCTTTCTTTTTTCCTCTTTTCTATTTTTTCTTGATCTGCCTTTTTCTGCTTTTCTGGTTTTTTTGAAATTTTACCTTTTTTCCTTTTATATTTTTTTGTTATTCCAACTTTTTTCTCTCATTTAATGATTTTCTTACAATGTATTCTCTATACTTGTTTATAGAATGTGTTCTAGGCTATTAATGCTACTGTATTTGCAAACTACTGTCTTGATTTGTGTTTAATAGCTCTGCTAGTTTGTTTTGTGTTTCTTTTGGAATTGGGCCTTTTATTAGTGCTTTTCTTGTTTTGACTTCTTCTGTCTCTGTTTTCCTAAAGAGTACTATATATAATATATGTGAGGTAATTTGGATCTTCTCTTCTTCTTTTAATTTCTTTCATGCTGTTGCAATGGTCACTTTTAGGATTCTCTTCCAAAGATTTCTTTGCCCCTTGCATATCACCAAGTGTGCTTGCATCTCTTTTACTTTATCTTGGCATACTTGGCATTCCACTGTTGTATATATATCTGGCCTTCTTCTATTAAGCTCTTCTAATATTGGAAGTTTGTCTATTATGCACTTGATAAATGCATTTCTTCTGGCACTGCTTCTTCTTGTTATGTAATGTATTCCCTTGATTGTTTTTAGCCTTTTCCAAAAATAAGTCCAATCAAAATTGTGATTTCTGCTTCTGGCTCTAAATCTTTAACTGCTTTCATTTCTTTCCACTCTGCATCTAGTCTTGCATTCATTATTAGCTTGCAAAGCAGTCTTGCTAGTATGTTAGTTCATTTGTTTTCCTACTCTAGGCAGTACTCTATCTCTTTACAGCTGACTTTCTCAATCTATACTATTTTCCTACTCATTGTCTCTTTCTTTGCTAAACTATCTGCTTTATCATTCCACTTGTCTTTACTATAACTTTTCACTTTAACTAAATCTATTTGAATATTTTTCATTCTGACAAGGTCTTTGATTTTCATTAACTATATTGCATTCTTTTTCTTAATAATATTGCTTCTGTCTGCTTGTTTTAGACCTCTACTGATGTTTCTGATTGCAGTATTACTATTTGTATATAACTCTATTTGCTTCTTCTTCAGTATTGTTAAAATCGCTGCCCAGATTGCTACCAACTCTGCTGTTGTCGATGTTTGCCATCCTTCTAGTCCAAATGCTACCTCTTCTTCTGGCCATTTTTGTGTTTCATTTGTTTGGACCTATCCAATATCCATATTGTTCTTAGACAATAGTTTTTTACTATTCTTCCCATTGGCTATACCATCAGTATATATTATATATTTATCTACTAATATTCTCTTTCAGTTTTTGTCACTTAATAATTTCAATCTCTAGTTCTTTTATTATTGCAAGGCCTTTTAATTTGCATTCACTTATTTTTGATCTATCTTTTTCTGTCTTGTTATTATTTGGTCTATCACTATCATGATTTGGTTACTACCCTTACTTATTAATCTATCTGAAATTATGTTAATGTTTTTATTTAATCTTATCTATTGCTAGCAACTATTTCCTATTTGTTCTTCTTTACTTATATACTCTTCACATCTGTTAATTTTAGTTGCTACATTATTTTCTTTGCATTTTATTAGCCAGTGTTCGATTAGTGCTTTTTTCTTTTTCTTTTTGACCACTTTTCTAAGCTGTTTATGGTTTTGTATACCATATACTATCTACTTTTTTCTTCTTCTATCTTCTGATATATGCTTCTATTTGACTTGCATTGCCTGCATATTTTGTTCACTTGTTCTAAAATATCTTTGTACCACTCTACTCTCTAGACTACTGAGCACTTTTGATTCTATTGCTTTGAACTATTCTGCTTTTTTTCCTTTACTTAATTGGCCTTGGTAACCTTTTAATTGCTGCTATGTGATTAGTTTTTCTTTCTTTGTGTCTAGTAGTTGGTTCAGATATATTAGCCCAGCTTTGTTTACTCTAACTGCTCCTTTTTTTCACAATTGTGTATCTACTAGTTCTTGTATTTTCATACCATACCTAAGCATTGTCTATAGCTCACTTTCTGTTCTAATATTCATTTTTAGTTTCCTTGCTTTGAGTATTGTAAGACATGCCAAGTTTTTTTTTAAATATGTTTCAATTTCTGGCTGCTTCTTAGTCTTTTATATATTTTTCATTAAACCTGCTTTTTGATAGTCTTGTGTTATTCTTAGTCTTGTTAGCTGTCCAAGACTATCTTGTCTGTTCAGTCTTGCCAAGAGGCCACTCACTTGCTTTATAATTAACTCTTGTTGCAATGTTCTACAACTGCCAAGATTTTTGTATTCCATTACACAGTTTTCTACTGTTCTTTGCAGATTGCTCTTTTGTTTTGTCAGACTTATTATTGGTTGATGTATTTCCTTTAGGCTTCTGTTCAACATTTTTGTTAGCTGTAACATATAGCTTAGTTTGGATATTATTACTATATTGTTTATATATGCAATCTGACTTATTGTCAATTTTTTGTACTTTAGATCTCTTATAGTTTGGCTTATTATTCCTTTTGCCTTCTTCTTTACTTGTATTTTTTGCATTCTGTTGCTTAACTATATTTCCAATAAACGAACTATTTTGTGTCTTGGTTCTTCTATTATCTTGCTTTTTTTATATATTACTGCTTTTTCTTCTTTTTGAACTTTTGTATTCATTGTTAATAATTTTGACTTTGATCTATTTATCTCTATATCATTCATTTTGAAAAACTTTTTCATTATTTCTAAGATTTCTAATAATTGTTCTTTGCTACTTGCAACCCATATAGTTTATCTGCATATGCAATTGCAGCTTGACAATATCTTATAATATTGTTGCATTGCATGCCTTTTTGCAACTGTTGCTTGACTGTATATTCTAAACTTTCTTCTTCTTGAATTCTTTCTAATAATGGGTCATAAAAGAGATGCCATATTAATAGTAAGATTACTTCACCTTAGTCTATTTCATCTTTTATCATTAGTTCTTCTGTTAGGCCATATATTGTAATTATTCTCAGTTGTCTCTTGTGGAAAAGATTCAGTATATATTTAATTGTTCTCTTGGGTATTTTGACTCTTTGCAATATCAGTTCAAGGCTTTCAAGAAGAACTGAGTTGAATGCCTTTTTCATGTCCTGCAGCAGTATCTATATTTCCTTATCTTTTTCTTTTGCTTCCTCTATTATCATGTTTAAAATCTGTACTGGTTGCTCTGTCGAGTTTCCTAGTAAGCCTGCAAAGTTTGGCCCTCTCAGTATTTCTCTTTTTATAAATACTTTGACAAGTCTTTTCATTACCATCTTTGTTACAATTTTCCTAAATGTTTCAATCAATGCTATCAGATGAATATTGTTTAAGCTATATCCCCATTCTACATCTTTTGGTATAGAGTAAACTTGTGCTATTTTCCACTTTGTTAAAATTTCTTCTACTTCTAAGCATAAGTCTGTAAAGCTTTTAAAGACTTCTTGTATCTTCATACCTGCTTTCTTGATTAATATATAGCTTATACCTGAAATACCTAGAGCTGTTTCTGTCTTTAACTCACTTAGTACTTTTTTTCATTCTTTTCCTTTAATTTTCTCTTCAACTTCTGCATACTATTCCTTTTTGATGCTTCTTCTTGGTTTATATATCTCTTTATACTTCTTTGTCATTGCTTCTAATTTGGTGTTTCTTTTTCTAAATTGCATTTTATAATGTACTGCTACCTTTGTCTTTACCTCTTCTGGCTCTGTTATTAAATATGTTTATCTTCTTCTTGCTTGATAAGCCCATCAAGTATTATTTTTTATACAGTTTATTTAAAAGACTGGCAAGTATTTTTCCTTGATCTGTTTTAATTATTTTGCATCTCTTGTCTATATTTTCTTCTATTCATCTTTTCTGTGCCTGCTTTTAGTCTTTCTTCTTTTTTTCTTGTAAGAGCTTTTGCCATTTTTTTATATCTTCTATTCAGGCATGTGACCAATGCTTTTGTAATTAACTCCCCCAGTATCATCGTTAAAAAAAACCTAATCACATAATATGTGGCTTAGACATAGATTTTAAGCGATTCGAATAAGACATATATTTAATATTGTATTTCATGAATTTTATTATATAAGCTTATAATTGCAATTATTTCGCAAAATAAAAAAGAAATTGTTTTATGGTATTGTTATGAGTTAAATGAAATGTTTTTTTTTAAAAAAGATTGTCAACAATATAAAATATATATTATCTTGAAATCATGAAATATAAAAAAGCATAAAGTATAATTAAATACATAACACATATGCTTTAAATAATGCAAGAGAATACAGTTAATGCATATGATCTATAATAAATGCAAGATGAATATAAATAATTATTATTGCAAATAGTGAGTATTATCTGTATGACCTTTCTATGTCAATGGCATTGTTCTTTTCCTTTGATATTTTTTAATATCTCTAACTAATTTAGAAATTGGTTCAAAAGACTTTTTTACTGTTTCACCTATTTAATATTTCCAGCTAATTTCTGCTCTTCAAGAATAGTAAGTGCTTTTCTAGTCGTATTGATCAAATTATTAAAAATATCTTCAACAGGTTTCTTAACTTGTTCTTCAATTAGTTCAACTGGTTCAATTAGTTTACTATTTATAATCAAATTATTATAATTATCATCAGGATAGCTATTTTTTTTATTATTATTCATAATGTTAAGGGATGATAAATTTTTGATTAAAAAAGAAGGCTGTGAAATTTTTTTTAAATTGTTAAAAAATTCAGCCGTAACATTTCCTTTTTGATGCACTAAATGCTTGCATAAATTAAACCAATTTGTCAAATAATAATGACATCCACAGATCCATTTATTTATATTAGTAGTATATGTCTGATTAATATTTCATTTAGATAATTCTTTCCATTTGAATTTAAAATCTTTTGCCCATTCGGGCCTTTTACGTCCAATTTGAATTTGTTGTAATTTATGTTGCTAGTGTATAACAACTTGTTTCATCAAGATATATACAACTAAATCTACTCTTGGGTGAAAGAATTTGTACAAGAAATCTCTTTTGACTACCTTTCAATGACCTTCAATAAACATGGTTGTTTTTAAAATAAAAATCATGTCTGTGCAAGACGATCATGCCCATAACTTCCATTTTGATTCATTATACCACTCAGTCCAAAAATAGGACCAAAGTGATATTAAAGAATTGTTTTTACAAAATGTGTACATTTCCTGAACAGATGTCTCATAAATTAAATCTGCTGTTAAAAATTGACCTTCACTTGTTGGAATAAAAGGATGTAAATGCAAGTGTTTTTCTACAATACTCAATACAGTATTTTGAAGATCTTTAGGGCAGAACTGTGCTGCCTGCTTAATGCCATCAAATGGAAATCTTTTTCCAAGTTCAGAAAGAGGATTAAAAGCTGAAGATCTAGTAGGTTTGTTATTTGATAATCTTGTATTAATAGCTTTTTTAACATGCCACTTGCATAATTGAACCTTACACTGTGGCCATGTAAAATGAATTGCATTAATCTGTGCGAAGTCTTTATCGGTTAAAAAAAATTTGGGTTGTAATCCTCTATCTCAATATATAGTTAAAAATTTTTGCAAGACACCTGTTCGTATACTCTTATTACATCGATCATTGTTTTCAAGAAATAGATATGATAGTGGAAAACCAGTACCATATACTTCTACATGTAAAATGTATAACTTAAACTCAAAATTATTGGTTTTGTAAGTAGCATTGATTCCAAGTTCATTAATATTAATATCCAATTAAAGTATTTGATTAAGCATTCCAGTGTCAAAAGCTAAAAAACGAACAGGTTCTACTTCATATAATATAATATCATACAGATTTTCATGAAGCCAAAGATATGCTGATTCTACTGCATCATTATGTTGTCTATACCGATTTTGTCCCAATTCTATCCACCAATAATGAATTTGCTTCTGTCTAATCGTTAATAATAAATTTTGATCTTTATTAATTAGATGAGTATAAATTTCTCTTGAAAGAAGATTTATATTATCTTTTATAAAATCTTTTATATATTGTGGTGTAGATAAATTTATCAGTTTGCTATGCAATTCTTTGTTACTTTAGCTAAGTATTTAGCTTTGTCAATTGAAATCTTCAAGATACCTCCACATTCAAATCTTTTCATTGATGTAATATTTCTTTGCTTTAATTTATCAGAATTTTTGCATGGCTTTTTTTGTAAAATATCCCGTTGAGAACACTTATATCAGTAAGTACTTAATTTATTACTATTATATTGATGATTATAAATCCAATTATATTCGTCTACATTCTCAATTTGTTCAATGATTTCACTTGCTAGATCTTTATTTAAACCATTATAATTTCTAATATTTATTCCACAATGAAAATAAAAATCTGAATTTGATAGTGCATTTTCTAAAATCTCTGCAACACTTTCACTTAAAAAATCCAATTTAACAATTTCTAACTCATCAATAAATAAAGTATCATTAGTTGTTATAGATCTTTTCTGTTTATTAGAAGATTTTTGATGACAACAATTGCAAGTTAGAAATTTAGTAGGTATATTATTTTTATCATTTTCTATGAATTTATTAATAGATTTAAATGTTTTGCAACCTTTACAATATAGATCAGTCAAAGATGAATTCATGTTAGATATAATAAAAAAAAAAGAATGTTGAAAAAAAATGCAGATAAGCAAAAAATATATTAATACAAATATTTAATTGTAATAATAAAGGCTATTACAAATCAATCATAATTTCGTAACAAAAAATATTATTCGGAGTAGCATATCTCAGCTATAAAAATCACGTGTTCTAGCTTTTTTTGACAGTTATGCTGGGGAAGATCTCTGTAATTTGGATAATTTTGCACCTATTTTGTTACCAAATGTTTTTAATTGTTTATTTGTTCTACTTCTTTCTTCTTCTGTTACTTCTTGATCTTTTCTTGTCTTTGCATATTTAATTAATTTTTGTAGCTTTACAATGTCTTTTTCTTGCTGTTGTGTTTTTTGACTGGCTCTTCTATTTGCTGTTGTGTTGTATATTCTTTTTTTAGGTATATGCTTATTGGCTACAGTGATAATTGTTTCTTCTATAATATTCCAAATACCAATTATTTTGTTTGTGTGTTTCTCTATATCTTGCACCTCTATTTGGATGTTTTTTAAACTTTTTTTTACTTCTAATCACTTTTGCAGCTCCTGTGCATAATTTTTCCAATTCTCTGGTTTTGCTTGATCATATAAATATAAAGTTCTTGATTGTCCTTTCCTTTTAACCTCTGCTTTACTGTTCTTCTCTATTATATGTTTAATTGATATTTCTGCAGTTATAATTTTGTGATTGCTTTCTATAATTTCTTTTGTTTCTTCAATGCTTGCCTTTTGCAGCCCTGTAGCCAACTCTTCTGATACCCAAATATAGTCAATTCTTGTTGCAGCTTTCTTGTTTGACCATGTGTACTTTTGCTTGTTTATGCATATTTCTATATGTGTCTATGAAGTCTTGTTTTTTTATTCAGTTAAAAATTGGTAGTCTTTTAAAATTTGCTGATTGTAGGTGTTGTCTGTCTAATATATTTTCTGCTTTATAATTAAAGTCACACATAATCATGACTTGTGTTTGTCTTTTCTGTCTAGTAACTATCTTATAATCTTTTGTTAGATGTTTCTCTTTATCATTTTGTTACTTGGTGGTATATAGACTCCTATGACTATTAGCTCCAATTGCTTGAAGTATAGTATGATTTCTATTATGTATTCACTTATTCTCTTAACTGCATCCACATGTTTTTCCCATTGTTCTTCTATTAAAATTCCTATACCAGATCCTTTTTTCTTATCTTCTGCTGCATTTGTCCAGTAGCCTACATAGTTTTTGTTTGACATATGCACCAAAAACCTTCCTTCTCTTTTAGTAATATTTGTTTCTATAACTTCTAGTATTGTAATTTTTTCCTCTTTTGCCTAGTTGAGCAGATTTTCAAGCTTCCACCTATTAGTTTTAAGTTTATTAACATTATGACATACTATTTTGATCTCTTTCTTTTCTTGTTTCCACCTTTCCTTTAATTGGTCTTGTTTTGTTTTTATGTTTTCTGCTTTTCTTTTGCCTTTTTGGTTTCCTTTTCTTTTCGATAAGGAGTTGTTATGCTTTTTTCATATATTTTTCTTTCTCTTTGTAGGAAACCTTCAAGCTCCTCATCCATTTTCAATAATTCAACTGAAGTATGCTTAGAAGCGATCAGTTGGGCCGTCCCTTGTCCCTAGCTGTATTCTTTCTATTACTTTGTTTTGTTGAACTTTAAGTCTGTCTAGTCTTTCTAAAATTCTTTGAAGCAGATCTTGTATTTGTAGGTTAAAGTTATTTTCTTCTGTTTGCTTTATTCATCTATTATCTTTGTTTCTATTGTTTTCCTTTTTGATTGTTTCTTTTTTGTCAACCTTCTGCTCTTCTTCAATTATGTTGATAGGTGTTTCTTCTGAGTTTAGATATCCTTGACTGTTACTACCTACTTTTTTCTTGTTCCACTTTTCTTAAAAGTTTTTCCAATATAGAAGGTCATTATTAAATCTTATTGGTTTGAATTGTGCTGCTTCTATTTCTTCTTTTGATGTGAAGATGATTGTCACTGCTCTTTTTTGGTTTCTATTTCTGTTAGGTGATATGTAAACTAACTTTGCTCTTTTGTTTTTTAAGCAGTGTAATAGCAATACTTCTGAAGCATTGCCTGGAAGTCCTATTAGTCTTGTTGTGAATAAGTTTTGAAGATCACATTGTGTGTAATCTTTATCACCTTTAGTTACTCTTGCCAACTTGTAAACATTAATTGGCAAAGTCTATAAAATGTTTTTGTTAGTCAGTTGATCTGCTTGAACTACTGCTAATGCCTTGTGTTTAGATCTTTTAATGCACCTTATTTGTATCTTTTTAAAAATTTTGCACATATGTCTAATTTTTTCTGCATTGATATTCACTAGTAAGTCCCATATTGTAAAACAGTTATATGAATTTTTTTCATTTTCTGTTATGAAAACATCTTCTTTTTTCTTATCTTCTTCTCTTTTATGTTGGCTTTTGTATCTTTTTTTCTCTTTCTTGTTGTTGTTTTTGATTTGTTGTTCAAGTTTTAATTTTTTGTTTCTTTCTTTTTCTGTGATAAGCTTGAGCCATTCCTTTTTCTTTTCTTGGATTCTGTCTATTGCTGCATCTTAGCTATGTTCGCAATCAAAGTCTACTTCTATCCAATTGTTTTTATTCTTAAAAACTTCTTTGATTGTCTTAATATGATGGTTTTTGTTCAGAATCTATTGCACATATTTTATCCTTTTATCACTTGTTTTTCCAGGCAGAATATATGCAGGTATGTTTGCTTTAAAGGACATGTCCTTATTACATACTCTATTTTCTGATAACTATTGGCTGTGCTCGATTGTATCAATAAAGATTGGATCCTCATAGGTCAGTTTTTCTTCTTTTAACTCTATTATTTTTTTCTTGATGTTTTTAATATTTTTCCTAACATCTTGGATAATGCTATCTCTTGGAGCTTCTGTGTTCTTCTTTATCTTTTTTTCACTTGTTTCTACTGCTTTATTTAACTTGTTTGAAGAGGTTTGGTTTGTGCTTGCTAAAAAATTTCTTTGTTGCATTTTTTGTAGCATATTAATATTAAGCTCCTCTATTTGGCCAATGACTTTATTTATTGTTTGGGTTGGTTTTCCTTGTAGTATTTCTTCTCTTTCTGCATTTTGACATCTCTTTTTTGTTATTAATGTCTGCATCTTCTCTGTTTTGTTCAGTTTCTCTATTTCTTTCATTTTTCTCTCTTCTTTGAGTATTTCTTCTTTACTCATGTTTGTAATATATTCAACTGATTTTGGATTTTGACTCATCAGTCTAAGTCTTTGTGCCTATTTATCTATTATATCTTCTTCGAGCCAGCTTAGTTCTGCTAGACTCAAGGTCTTAAGAATTTGTTTATAAAGTAGTACATCACTTAGTGTAATATGGTTTGGGTTGTTTATTGCTAAGTTTTTAGCTATATGCTTTACATTGCTTGGTTCTTTTGCAGGTGTTGTTAGAATTTAATTCAACAATTCAGAGTTTAAATATCTTTAATTTTTATTATCTGCCCCCTTGATGTAGTACATAATGTCTATGTTAATAGTCTGATCTATTCAATTTACTTGATAAATACTATTTATAATAATAAGAACTAATAGATATAATAGATATAATATATTTAACAGATATAGTAGATATAATAGAAATGATAGATATAATAGAACTAATAGATCTGGTAGAAATGATAAATATAATAAAAATAATAGATCTACTAAAAATGATAGAAATGATAAAAATGCTAGATTTCTGATACAATAATTTGAGCTAATCAGAATCAAGTTACATATATTACAATTAAAGCTTTTCATTAAAATCATTCTGATCTCATAATCCTGTAATCAGAATTATATGATCTTGTGCTCATTAGAATCATCTTGGTGAGCTGAATCTAATGGTAATTGTTTTATCCAATTTGGCTTAGTATATCAAAAGTTATAATCAAAAATGTGTAAAACTCTTAATGTTAACATTATATATAGCATTTATTAGCAATAGAGTAGTCTTTATTTTAATAATATATACTTGTAAAATATTTATAAAAATACTATTTTCCAACTCTTTAAGAAATTTAAGAGTTTTTATATATTTCATAGTTAATAAAGTGAATATAATATTTAGTATCTTTATATACTATCTATTATTGTTTCTGCTTTAAAATTTCATATTATTTTGTATATTATTAAGTCTTATGTAGACTTTGTGTAGAATCTGTTAAGTTATAGTTATTATACCATAATTAAACAGCTTGTAATAAAAGAAAAAACTACAGTTTAACAATAGACTAAATCGAAACTATTATTTTTCTCTTTTGGTGAATATACTATAATCCACTTATTTATAAAATCATATTATAGCATAATGATTATATACTATTTACAATATAACCAATTAGCCTCTTTCTATTTAAAACCTAAAATTCCAATACATTTAACTTTTTTTAGCTTATATAAATAATATATTTTAAATATCTCAATTCAAATTAAAACTTGAATAGATAATTCAAACTGCAACTTTCTTTTACCAAATGACCAACATTCAAATTAACTTTTTCAAATTTAAATCAAACCCAAATTACTACTCAATTTTTTAATTCTATACTTACATCTATTTTAGCTGATTAATCTTTTAAATTTTTTGGCTACTAGTTTATACTTAACAGCAAACAAACTGCACAAATCAAACTAATTTATAAAAAAACATTTCAATTTACAAACATTGTTAGTCCTAAAAAAATTACAAATAAATAAATAATTTATATTATTAACATAGTCATTATTCTTATACTAGAATACTAACTATACAATATAGTTCTTTTTCATTCTATATACAACAAAATTTTAGCTAAATATCTAACTATAGCTAAACATAAGTTGCATCTAGCCTATTCTTTTTCAAACTATATTATGTTTAATCCATTTTTATATAATCTATATAATATTTAAGATATTTAACTTTAACATCATATATCTAACTTTATTTTATAAATTAATAATCCTTATTTACTAGAAACTTCTAC